GCTGCCCTCTCATTCATTGATCTGCTAACCGCTATGTTATGCTCACGTGTTCTAATAATAATAGCTTTCTAGGACTAAACATTATTTGGATATAATTGGAAAATAAAACAACTAAATCTCTTAATAGCCCTACTGTTAGACCTACCTGAAAAACTAAAAAGCAATTTATTTCATTTGTATCGTTATTTTTTGTGCTATAATTAGTCATTTGTTTATTTGTTCTTATTTTATTACTGATTGCTTGTAATTTTTTATTCAATTCAAAGTTTGCAATCAAGCTATCTCGTGCTACTGCAACAAAATTACCCCACTGTAAAATCAAAAATACACTGAGTGAGCAAAAATTTGTGAGATATAATGGTAATTAAACAATGTTTACATATAAATAAAAGCCTACATGAAAATCTGTCATATAAATTGGTCTCTTCATTAGAAATTAGCCTACTGATTGCCACCATTGATGGACAAAAAATTTAATAATATTAAAAAATATCTGTATTACAGTGTATTCTACAGTTCTTCCCTGCTGTACTGAATATCTGTACTTTTCAAGGTATCATATCGAAGTTAGAAATTCAAGTATTGTGACAATATTAATTTTGTAGGGTGCCACCAATTTGTTAAAATTTCCAAAAGGTGCACAGCAAAATCCCTGGTGTCAAATTAACACTGCTGGGTGTCTATATGTGTCCACACTACAGTGTTAAAAGTAACACTGAAGCAGTGTTAAAGTTAATGAGGTAATTAAGAGATTCTTTGAGTGATGATTGACCATTATTGGAGACACCTGATGTTAACAAGCAGAATCACCAAAGAAGAAAATCAAAATTTTTAAGTCACCATTATAGTGGTCAGTGTTTGCATTAGTTGGGTTCTTGACCCTTGTATCTTTAATATTACATTTTATTTGGCTGCTATAACTGAATTATAACAGCCAGACTTTTGCAAAGAGCAAAAGTCATGAGGTGGTGATGATGATTATGTTCTAACATAATCATTATTTGACCTGAATCACTGAACTCCTTTAGAGTCTAATCTCGGAGTTAAATTTCATTTATTGATTGCAACAGCCTTGTGATTCTACAACGAAAGATTCTGTTTTTTCTATAAATTTTGGAAGGATTTCTTACAAGCTGTTCTGATCCCCAAAAAAACTTCAAAAAAGTATTTATTTTAGGCACACACAGACATCAAGAATCATTCTGATTCTTAATGTCTGTGTGTCTAAATGAAAGACATTACGTTTTTGATCAAAATAAGTTTTAAAAACATCTGTCTGATTATACTGAAAATGCCAGATCTCATGTTGTTCACAGTGTTGACGTAACCAACAAAGAAAACCTAACTCAGTTATTCAGATCATTGCATGATGATTATGTCAAAACACAATCACCATCTGATGACTTTTGCTCTTTGCTTGTCTGGCTGTTATAATTCAGTTATAAATAATAAAAATATAAACTAAAGTAAACACTGACCACTATAATGGTGACTTACAAAATAGTGATTTTCTTCTTTGGTAATTCTGCTTGTTAACATCAGGTGTCTCCAATAATGGTCAATCATCACTCAAAGAATCTCTTAATTACCTCATTAACTTTAGCACTGCTTCAGTGTTACTTTTAACACTC